AAAAAATAAATATATTAAATTCTCTCTCTCTCTCTCTCTCTCTCTCTCCTCTCTCTCTAAAAAAAAAAAAAAAAAAGAAAAAAAATGTTTAACATCCCTAGCAGTTAGAGAAATATGAATCAAAACTATATTGAGATTTCATCTTACCCTAGTGAGAATGGCAATTATCAGGAATACAAATGATAAACCAGCCATGGCGGTACATATCTGTAATCCCAGAGACTAGGAAGGCTGAGGGAGGAGGATTCTCAAGTTCAAAGGCAGCCTCAGCAATTTAATGTGGTCCTAAGCAACTTAGCAAGACCCTATTTCAAAAAAATAAAAATAAAAAGGGCTAGGAATTTAGCTCAGCGTTTAAGTGCCCCTGGGTTCAATTCCCAGTACCAAATAAAAAGAATACAAATAATGAAAAATGCTGGTGAGAATGCAGGAAAAAAGATATGTTCATTCATTGCTGATGGTACTACAAATTAGTATAACCACTCTGGAGATTTTAACCAGTATGGAGATTCCTCAAAAAACTAGGAAGGGAATCACTAGCTATCTCATCAAGATTTATCCAAAAGAACTAAAATCTGCCTACTATAGTGAATAGTCATCTATGTTTATAGCAGCACAACTCACAATAGCCATATGGAACTAGCCCAGATGCCCATCAACAGATGAACAGATTAAGAAAATATGGAATATATGGAGTTTTACTGGGCCATTAAGAATGAAATCATGCCCATAAATGGAACTGGAGAATATCATGTAAGTGAAATGAGCCAGACTCAGAAAATTAAGAGTCGAGTGTTCTCTCTCATATGTAGAAGTTATGAATGAAGCAGGGAAAAGGGATGGTCAGATATCATAAGAACAGGGAAAAGATCAAAAGAGTAGAGGATTAAAGAGCAGGGACAGGAAAGGGGATAAAATGTACAATGAATTTGACAAAATTAGGCAATGTGCATGTACAAATATACCATAGTGAACTCTACCTTTAGGTAAAATAAGCACCAATTAAAAATATACAAATGGGGGTTGGGGCTATAGCTTAGTGATACAGCACTTGTCTCACATGCATGAGGCACTAGGTTTGATACTCAACACCACAAAAAATAAAGATTTAAAAAAGAAATAAATGTAAAAAATATATATTTTTTATATATTTATAGAATAGAAAGCAGACCAGTAGAGTGGTAGAAAGGGAATAGGGGGAGGGAGTACAGGAGGGAAAGGAGGGGCACTGGGGACTGAAATGGAGTAAATTAATTTCCATTCATGTATGATTATGTCAAAATGAACTCAACTATTATGTACAACTATGAAGCTCTAATAAAAGCCCAAAACAAAAAAACTCAATGTGAAAGAGAAAACTTTAGGGGTACAGAATAGAGGACACTACAACAAAATAAACACAGCTAGAAAACTAACATCGTTGAAAGAGAGGTGAAGATTTACACAAGAAGAAATAAAGGAAGGAAAAGAATGACAAGAAATGTTATGTATGCTAATAGACATAAGGAACTGAAAGATTCTGATTAAGTTTAACTGGAATCCCAGAAGGGAAGTAGCAAATATTTGGTGTGTCGGGGTGGGGCAGAGAGACAGCTGAGAATTTTTTTCAAACTGATAAAAAAGATATCACACCTCAGAATCAAAACCTTCCAGAAAAAGGATAAGTACACATAGAGAAAACAAAACCAAATAATATCAAGTAACAACTGCAAGAAAAAAAGGAGAAATTCTCATAAGCTGCCAGAGTTTTGAAAAAAAAAAAAATCACTGCTTTCAAGGGGGGAGAATATTTAAAATGTTTCACGGTRGGGTGTAGCTCAGTGGTGAGTATTTGCCTAGCCAACATGAGGCCCTGGGTTTGAAATGAAGAAATGAAAAAATTAAAATAAATAAGGCTGACTTTAGATTACAACAACAAAGTTTCAAAAGATATTGGGATGGTATACTTTAAAGTACCAAAGGGGAGAGGGTGAGCTCTTTTTTTTTTTTTTTTTTTTTTTTAAATTTTATTTTATTTTTTTAAAGAGAGAGTGAGAGAGGAGAGAGAGAATTTTTAATGTTTATTTTTTAGTTCTCGGCAGACACAACATCTTTGTTGGTATGTGGTGCTGAGGATCGAACCCGGGCCGCACGCATGCCAGGCGAGCGAGCTACCACTTGAGCCACATCCCCAGCCCGAGGGTGAGCTCTTAATCCAGAATTCTGTACTCATCAAAAATATCCTTCAGAAACAAAGAAATGCAGACATCTTTAAAAAAAAAAAAAAAAGTTGAGAGCATTTCTAACTGTAAGACCGGCACAAGAAATAATGAAAGAAGTTCTTTGGGCTAAAAACAAATGATCATAGATGAAATAGAAAACTGCTGTTACAAGGAAGGAAAACATAGGAAAGAGAAAGCATTTAAGTAAATATAAAGCTACTAACTATCTAAAGCTATAGAAGTCTTACAGGGTTGAGAAGACAGGGAGAAGAAAACAAGATAACAGCAGCACCCAGGGCGGGAAGTGGTAAATGTCACGATACTGTTGCAATTTAACTGTCCTGTTCTTGCATACTACAATAAACTCCAAATGAATTGAGATTTAAACATAAAACACATAATGTGCTAAATTTTAGGATCAGATTCTTTATAATCATGAAGTGAGAAGAACTTTGTAATTATTCTGTTAAATGCTATAAAGTTTAAACCCATAAAAGATTGATAAAAAAGTAGTAATTTGCAACTCATATAAAAAAACAAGTAAATTGTGCTCTATATGTGTAATATGAATTGTAATGCACTCTGCTGCCATAAAAAACAAATTAAAATTTAAAAATGCAAAAAAACAAGCATTATCATCTCTAATATATAAAGAGCTAACTAGACACAGGATGGGAGCAAAATGTGCATAATAACAGACAGTTCACAGAAAAATACAAAGCACTCTTAGACATGTGAAAAGGTACTCAGCTTCATCCAGAGTGAAGAAAACTGCAGATGCTAACTACACAAAATACCACTTTTTACGTATCTGGTACCCAAAATCCAAAGGTTGAAAACACCTCTATGGGAGAAGCTGTGGAGAAATAAGTCCTCATGAATTGCCAATGAGACTATAAAATGATACCACCTCTAGGACAAGGCAGTCTCACTAAGCTGATCAAGCTCTGGGAATTAATCTAACAGACAAATCTATCTATGGATTATTTTTGTGTGTACATACATGCACATGTGTGTATGCAAGGTTACTCATTCCAACATGGTTTACAATAACAAAAGGTTGGAAGTAGTTTAGTAAACTTGAATATTTACACTTAAATTACCATGTAATTGTGACAAAGAAAGAAGCAGCAATCCATGTTCTGGTCACAGAAATCTCTGGTGTATGTAAGTGAAAAAAGAATGGAAAACAGTGTACAGGCTTGCTACTCAAAGGGTGCCCTTGAGCAGAATTGGCTTCACCTGGAAGCTTATTAGAAATTCAGAATCCAGGATACCATCTATTTCTACTAACTCAGAATCTGCCATTAACATGACACTAGAAATACACAGGCCCATGTAAGTCTAAGAAGCCCTAAAGGACAATGGATTCCTTCTTAAATAAAGGGAGGGGGTATATAAGAATATGTACACTTATTTCTTTTAACCAGATAAAGAAACACTGGAAGGACAGAAAAGAAACTATTTTTAAAAATAGGGATCTAGAGTAGGGTGACCATACACTCCAGTTTGGGGCTGTCCCAATATATGCCAGTTATCCTAGCATATTAATTTAAAGAACTTCTTTCACACTCAGTGAAAGTATCTCTGTAGGATAAATATCACCCTACCTAGAGGCTGTATTTATCAGGTTAAAAATGCAAGCAGAAATGAAGAGAAAGGGAGTGCAAAATCTTGTATCTTTTAGATTATCGTTTTTCTGGTTTGAAGTTTTAATTTTTTTATTAATATAGTCAGTTTTTAAACATATTGGTATATTATTAATTCAAAAGCATTTGATTAAGAAAAAAAAATAAAACACATGAAACCAGTCAATAAAGCACAGAGGAGGAGTAAGTCAAGGATGGAAATATGGGTATAAAAATCACCTGGGACAAAAAGCAAAGATGCTTTACTGAGGATTAGAGAGGAAATCAAGCATCAGAAACAGGGAGAGCTTAGGGGCTGGAGTTGTGGCTCAGTGGTACAGCACTCGCTTAGCACATGTGAGGCCCTGGGTTCAATCCTCAGCACCACATAAAGATAAATAAATAAAGGTATTGTGTCCAACTACAACTAAAAAATATTAAAAAAAAAAAAAAAGAAAAAAGAAACAGGGAGAGCTTAAAGGATGATGTCACAGACACCAACAGAGGAGATATTCAAATCAGAGATTGAGGTCAATACTATCAAATGTTGTTCAACGTCTAGTAAGGCAAAGACAAAAATATCTACTGGTTTTGACTATAATTTGGTGGCTTTTTCTAAACTAACTCAGGTGAATGGTGGTAATGGGACAAGGCTGTATTTATCAGGTTAAAAAATGCAAGACATAAGCCAGAACTACCTGTGACTGTATATAGAAACACCAAGCCAACACATTAAGGAATGCTGTTTTGAGGACATGTAACCCCTCCATTCCTCCGTACCTTTTAGGTTTTATTCTTGAATTAATCAGGATCATCAGAGAGCAGTCTAGTCAAACCTCTCAATGTTTGGTCTTCTGAAAAGAGAGACTGGGTTTTGTGCACTGGGTTTTGCTCCAGCACTACTTTGTTTCTAGCCAAGAAATGATTATAGAAAATATATCACATTTATTTAAGGGATGTTATTAGAAAGATCACAGAAAATTTTACAATAACTTGGACAATCCTATGAAATTAAAAGTCTTTCATCTAATTTTGCCAACTGTCCTATTCTGAATTTGCTACACTCTATTTCCCTTAATGTAAATCTTTTGCCTAGTTTTACTTTTTCTCCTAAAAAATTGAGTCCTTATAAACTTAAAACAAAGTGAGAGTAAATAAACAAAACACTCACCTGGGATTTGTTCATTTTCCGTTCTTATTGGAGGAGGGAAAGCTAAGAGAGAAGGAAGGAGGATGTCAGGAGAAATTTGGCCTGCCTTGCAGTTCCTAGATTCACCTGCCTATACAGCTCCACAACAAAATACTTACCTGTCCATGTGTGGCTCCCATATGTGTTGAGTTTAGATATGATACTTTTCATTGAGTGTAAGCAAATATTTTTTCTTATTCATTTGTTACCAATTTAGGTTCTGTTACACAGAGAAATTAAAAACATGAAAAGATGAGTTTAAAAATAACAGTAAATCTAAAGAAGGAAATAGTATGGATACCAATGTTGCAAAGGGAGAAAAACTATACCACATTGTTTATTTACCTGTTAACACCATTAATCCCTTGAGATCAGATAACCCAAGAAATCTCTAACCCTCCTTTATGGTGTGTTTAAGGCAAGATAAAAAAATTTTTTTAAGCATGTTTGTTCTAACTTGCTTAGAATTAATTTATTATTATTATTATTATTATTATTATTATTATTATTATTCTTGGTACTGGGGATTTAACCCAGGGGCAATTTACCACTAAGATACATACCTATCCCTGCTTATTTTTAAATTTTGAGGCAGGATCTCACTAAGTTGCTTAGGGTCTCACTAAATTGCTTAGGGTCTTGCTAAGTTTCTGAGGCTGGCCTTGAAATTGCGATTTTCCTGCTTCAGCCTATGGAGCTACTGGGATTACAGGCTTGCCCTACCATGCCCAGCTCAAAAAGATTTTTTAATAAGAAACTAACTATGACTTAACAGTGACAAAATGGATAGCAAGGGCCCAGGAATCTGCAGATGTTACATTTCTTGGTCCTGCCAATGACAAACTGCATGATGTGAATCACTTTCTCACAAACTATTTTTAATCTTTTAAATGCGATGAAACAAAGAGGACCTGCCTGCACTACCATCCTGTGAATCTATAAGGCCAGGAGAGCAGGAAACTCAGCATCTCTCTAAATTCCACCCTTGGATGGTACACTGAGAGGTGCTAGCCTCAGTAAAGAGTGAACAGGATAGGAAGGATGCGGGAGACTTTTAAMGAGAAGGGATGGCATTTTGTTAGCTGCCTCTGGTGAGCCTTTCATTCCAGCCCATGCTCCAAAAAGGTGACATTTCCTGTGCAGCCTGGGTGCCCACCCCTCTCAGCTCCAGCTCACCTCTCTTCTTAAACTTGTCCCAGACCTTCCACCGGCACACAGCCTTCGATGACTTCAGAATACTGTGTTACGATTATACATAATAAATAATAAATAAACAAGTAACAAATAAGGAATATCTTAGAATCCAGGTGGGTTAGGGCCAGCAAAATGCCTTGGTGGCTAGATACGCCAGTCCCTTTCCTTTTCCACTTCACTAACACAAAGGCCTTAGGGACCAGTCCAAGCTCCAGCAGCAAAGGAGGTCTTGTTGGGATCCTCCCAGTGCGCTACATATACACAATAAATCTATAGGATATTGGCTAAAAACCTGAAGGTGCTCAAAACAACCCAAAGCGGCAAATATTCATAACATCCGCATCTTATAGAGAAGGAAGAATCTCACGTGGATTATTTGGTCAAGAGTAACAGTCACACGAGACCTGGCCCTCGCAGCCCCGCCCCTTCCCCGTGGGTCCAGCGAAAGGCCTACGTCACAACGTCAAGCACGCGTCGCGCACACGTCACACGCTACACACGCGCGGTCCCTTCCCCAGATCCCCGCCCGCCGCAGCGGCTCCCTCCCCGCTGGCCCAGAGCGTAGGAAAATCACACGTACTCCCCACCTGTGGCCACACGACGGCGCCGCGGGCTAGGCGCTGAGGCTAGACCAGTGCGGACCCCGCGAGCACAAACACTACCGTTCCCGCGCCAGACCCGAGCCCCTTCCGCCAACAGGGATGCACCCGTCCGGATGGCCTGCTTCAACTGCAGATGCCCGAGGTCTCACCGCGGGGTCCGCGGGACTCCTCCTCTCCGCCTAGCATCAGCCGCCTCCTTCCGGTCCCCGAAGCCTCCCGGGCCCCCTAGACCTTTGCTCAACTCCTCCGGGCTCACCCGCCGCTCCCTCGCCCCGTGGACCCGGAGGCTGGCAATTGTTTCCCACGAGGGCCTGGAGGCCAGGGACGACCAACGGGGGGGGGGGGGTGCGCATGCGCAGAGGGAGAGGCGGTGCGGCGGGATGGCTGGAAGACAGAAAGGTAGCTGAGCTCTCCGAAGGGATGCTGCTAGGAGTTACCTGCCCTCCATACCTCATTTTCCACTGTAGAATGAAGCTATTAACAATGTCTAGTTAGTAGAATTTCTATGAAAATCAAAAGCGGTTTGCATTGTAAAAGCACTTAGAACGCTGCCTGGCTCATAAATTGTTCAACACTTTTAAAAGTTTGTACTTCCCGGTATACATGATGCCCATGTCTCTAGAAATCATCTGGATTTTTTGCCTAGTTTAATGAGAGATTACTATTATTCACTTGTGCAGGAAGCCAGCAAAAGAAAAGATATGCTTAAATTTCGTTTATAAATATTCATTTATCGGAAACAGAAAACAGGTTCATGTAAACAACTGCAGCAAGCATGTCTATTCTATGAAATAAAGAAAAAAGACAATCTATGAGTTTCGAAACCGGCAGGATGGCCCATGCATATGATCCCAGCTCTTCCGGACGGACGCTGAGACAGGATTCCAGCCTGAGCAGCATAGGGAGACCCCCCCCCCCACCAACCCTACCTCATCTCAAAAATTAAATAATAAAGTAAAATTGTTTATTTGTAGGAAACTGTTTACATATCAAACTTATAGAAGTAAAACCTCTCTGATCTCGTGAAACCAAACATACTTTACAAACTAGAACAAAACATTCCTTGACGTACACCTCATACCATTTTTTTAGGACGCTGTTGTGTCAGAAGCAATGACTTAATCATTTGTTTTACTCCTCTCTCTTCAAAATTAGCTTTATTTTGCAAAGTCTCCCCTTGTAAAATCGTTTATTCTTTGCCCTAAGTGACTGATATAGTAACTGCTAGAGTCAACTTATTCCAGGATTAAGAATTGAGTTGGTTTTTATAATTCTTTTGAAAAATGCCCTGGGGATATTGATTTATGCTTCTAGTGGATTGACTCTTTCATCATTAGGCAATATCCTTTTTTTTTGGGGGGGGGGTCTCTTTTGGTAGGTTTTTTTTTTTTTTTACTTAAAATCTATTTTTTTTCCTGCTAATAGAATAGCTTCCCTTTTTCTCTTTTAGTTACCATTTCATGAAATATCACTTTATGTCCATTCACTTTTATCCTATATGTCCTTAGATTTCATTAGCATGTCTTATAAACAACATATCATTGGATCTTTTTTCAAAAATCCATTCAGGACTTAAGAACTCTGCAGAAATCTCACCCTGGGAGTACATTGATCTTCTCTGTCCAGACAAAATTCCAATTAACAATATTTTATATTCCTTCCTACAATATACTGGTGAGAAGGAAAACTGGACTATTTCAACCAACTTCAGCTCTAAACCATTCCAGCTGGCAGCTCAGTGAGCAACACAAAAAAGAGTAAAGGCCCAGAAACCTTCAGGTCATGCTCTCTCTAAGGGGTACTTTGAGAAAAAGAAAGTAAGCTGGTTTATCTTCAGAATATTGTATTTAACCTTAGAAATGTCTAACTGTATCCCTTCCCTTGCCCTGATGGAGGAGCTCTGTGTAGCTGTCTAGTCAATTGGCTAATTTTAAAATTGGGGCAGGCATACTGGGGAGTGCTGTGTTAGGGATAGAAGCAGGTGGACTACCCACCCAGGCACATCTTGCTATCCAGGTTATGTAGCATGCCCTTCTGACAGAAGTAAGGTGTGCCTTGCCCACCCACTTCCAAGCACGTTTCATTTCTTGCAACACCTCCCTATTTCCAACAGTACACAGCTCTAGAAGAAACAGAAGGGCATCTGGTATGGGCAATGGACATCCACCCTTGTTGACAGTTTCAACCACCTCAGCAGAGACAACACTTTCATTTTTCATTGAGAATTTTTTCTTTCTTCTTTTTTTTTTTTTTTTTTTGGTGGTGGTTTTGCTGTGCTGATCAGTTCATGAATATATAAACACACACTCATTTGGGGTTTTCCCCATTTTTTAAAAAATTTGTAACATTTTATTTAGTTAGTTTTATTAGAGCTTTATAGTTGTACTTTGTAATTTGATTCATCCTAACAAATTCATATATGCATGGAATTTGACTTCAGTAAAATTCCTCCCTTCTTTCCTGTTCTTTCCTCCTCTTCTCCCTCCCCTCCCCCATTCTCCTTCCAGTATTACACTTCCTTTTGCTCATCTATTTGTTTATATTTGATTGGTTCTAATATATGCATATACCATGACTTTTTAAAGAACACATTTTGCATTGCCTCCCCTTTCCCATCCCTCCACTCTGTCTCTCAATCTCCTTCTACATTACTGATCTTCTCTTTATCATATTCTATCCTTCCCTTCTCTTTTCCTTTATTTTACTATAGCTTCTGTATATGAGAGAAAACATTTGACCTTTGAGTTTCTGAGTTTGGCTTATTTCACATAGTATGATATTCTCCATTTGCATCCATTTATCAGCAAATGGCAATTTTTTTTTCACAGCTGAGTAGAACTCCATTATGTGTGTGTACACACACACATATATATCACAATTTCATAATCCATTTATCTGTACACACACATCACAATTTCTTAATCCATTTATCTACTGTTGAACACCCTGGTTGATTCTATAATTTAAGCTATTGTGAATTGTGCTGCTATAAACATTGACATGACACTGTAGTATGTTGATTTTACATTTTTTGAGAAAAGACCCAGGAATGGGAAAGCAAGGTCATATGGTGGTTCCATTAGTTTTTTGAGGAATCTCCATACTGCTTTCAAGAATGGTTGTACTAGTCTGCTGTCGCACCAACAATGTATCAGTATTCCTTTCTCCCCACAACCTCATGAGCATTTATTATTGTTTGTATTCTTGATTAATCTGACTGGAGTGAGATAAAATCTTACTGTAGGTTTGATTTGCATTTCCCTGGTTGTTAGAGATGTTGAACATTTTTTTCATATCGTTTTTCATATATTTGTTGGTCTTTTGCATTTCTTCTTTTGAGAAGGTTCTGTTTAGTTCTTTTATTTATTGATTTAGTTCTATTTATTGATTGAGTTATTTGTGGTTTTGGAGTTATGTTTTTTTGAGTTATTTATATATTCTGGATATTAATCCTGTATTGGAGGAGTAGCTGGCCAAGATTTCCCCCCATTCTGTAGGCTCTTTCTTCATGCTCTTAATAATTTCCTTTGCTGTGGAGAAGCTTTTTAGTTTGATGGCATCCAACTTATTGATTCTTGGTTTTATTTCTTGTGTTTTGAGGGTTTTGTTAAGAAAGTCAGTAACAGCATCTATATGATAGAGTGTAGACTTATCCCCCATGTCCATTATGGGGGAGGGAATGATTTTCCATTTGGTGGAATGGTTTGCTGAGAAATAAAAACTAAGAAAAGTAGTATGATGAAATAACCACAGAATACAGAAAGTAGTTTCAAAGATTGGGCAGAGACGGACCTGCAAAGCTTACCAAATGGGTCCAGCTTCTAACAAAGAAAGGAACCTGCATTTGCTTTATTTATATTGGAACACATCAAAGGCTCTCTACAAAAAGTTCTTCACCAAAACAGGATAGAGGTAGGGGCAAATAGGCTACTCTGTTTCTAACGGGTTATGCCCATCTCTGTTTCTCCATGAGACCTCTTAGCAAAGCTGAGGGGAAGTTCACTTGAATTTGAGTGATCCATCCCCACAGGACTGCCATGGTCAGTAATTTCCCAGTACCAAATCACTGGCTCCAATGCTAAAGAAGCTCCTCACACATTTCACAGATGGCTTCTCACATTGATCCTATGTTTTCTAATAGCTGTTTCAAGGTTTCTCTAATTATTAAGTCTTTGATCCATTTCTATTTGAATTTTGTTCAGGGTGAGAGATATAGGTCTAGTTTCATTTTTCCTACCTATCATATTATTCAGTTTTTCCAGCACTATTTGTTAAAAAAGCTGTCTTTTCTCCAAAATATATTTTGGCAACTTTGTCAACTATCAGATAACTATAGGTATGTGGATTTGTCTCTATGTCTTCTAGTAGATTCCATTTGTCTTCATGTCTATTTTGATGCCAATACCATACTGTTTTTTGTTCCTGTAGTATAATTTCAGATCAGGTATTGTGATGCCTCCTGCTTTCCTTTTCTTGATTAGTATTGTTTTGGCTATTCTGGGTCTCTTATTCTTACAAATGAATTAAAGGGTTGTTCTTTCTAATTCTGCCAAAAATGTCATTGGTATTTTGATGGGGATTGCACTGAATCTGTATATTGCCATGTTATATGGCTATTTTGACAATATTAATTAGCCTATCCAAGAACAAGAGATGTCTATCCATCTTCTAAGTTCTTCAGTTTCTTTCTTCAGTGTTCTGTAATTTTAATTGTTAGAACTCTTTTATCCTTGGCTAGATTAATTCTCAAGTATTTTTTATGTTATTGTGAATGAGATGGTTTTTATTATTTTAATCATTTTTTAAAAGTTTGGAGATTTCTTGGTTTTTATCTTTTGAGGGATAGGTTTCTTATTTTTGCTTTTGTTTCTCTTTCTCTCTTATTTGTTTCTCTTTTCTCTCTTTCCCTCTAATAGCAAATTTCTCATTCTCTCTTTTCCCATTAAATTATTTTGTTCCCTTTATTTATTTTTCTTCTTATTTATAGCCATAATTTTACATCTCTTATGTTCATGTTTTGAACATCCTAAACTTTCTTTTACCTTATTATCACAATTTGTTTTCTCTTAATGAACTGTATTTTACCTTCTTTTAGAACTATTTGGTTTGTACATTTCCTGCTCCAACCATTAGTATTGTGTTTATTAGTGCTGTGGATGACATAATTAACACCTACTATTTACTTTAATGCCAGATCTAATTCACAGCTATTTATTGTTGTTACCATTGACAGTTGCTGATCCTGCCATTCCAGTTTTTGTGTTATAATGTTGTAGATGTCATAGTAGGAACTGAGCATTTATTTCAATGCTGTTT